TAGGTATTGTCACTTAAGCTAAAAAGAAAGCTCTGATAACTATTAAACAAAAATGTGTAATCCATTTTTTAAACACATAACCCACAGGTTGTGTAGGAATAGAGCAGGAGGGCTTATTACAGACTTTCCTGAGTAAGTCAAAGGGAAAAGGACACCTGACAATGTCATCTGTCCTCCCATTCTCTGCTCACAGACTAGATAGCCTGGATGTTTTAATACCTTCTTTGCCTCTGATTATGCTCAGTTCATATACCTGAAAATAGTGCAGCATATCTCTGTATAATTCACTAACCTACTTTGCTTTCCTTGTACTATGCTTTTTCTAATACAGCTTTTCTTCAGAGTTAAGGCACCTTTACATTAATGCATCTGTCAAGCTCAGGCATTTAACTAGCAGAAAATAATGTAAAAGCATTTCAAACTGCGAAGCAAAAAACCCTCAACTACTAAAGTTAATTTTAAAAATTAAGCCTGTTTTTAGAGAGAGTTTACTGTAAAATTTAGTTAGACCTTACACATCTTACAGGAAATGACATTTTAAGGGGAGGAAGGAAAGCAGAAGGCAGTAAAAAACAAACAAACAAACAAAACAACAAAAAAAAAACAGGCTCTGCATCACTTACACCCAAGTAAAACAGACTTACAGAAACACAGTCCAAGATTCTCTCAATCTGATTCCAAGCGTACCAAATATCTGAAAAAAGCTGTATGAGATGACAACAGTGAAGGTAGAGAACAAGCTGATTTGTGGTTGGGGTTGAAGATGAAAGGCACACCTGCTTCAGCAGGAAGTCTGGAAGGTGGCTGCATTTCTGAAGAAATGGTAACATTCCAGGAGGAAGAGTCTCAAAATAAATACAAAACGCAAAGGCCTTCAAACTTCAAACTCTCCACAGTATATGAACAGGTTATATGGTTGGCAGGTTACTTGTGCCAAAGACAGACACCTCCAAGCTTGCTCCCTCTGAGTTTCACGGTTTTCATTAAACACATGGATGCCTCACACAAGATGGTGAAAACAATAGAAAGCATCTGCATCTAGCTCTGTCCCTAGACAACCTCTTCTCATGGTAGAGACTTAGTATAAAGTAGCATTGTGAATGCTGGGTTCCCTTTTGCTTTTCTCCCTTTTCTGCCTTTGCGCAGTTCATGTCCTCCTTTGAGACCCACTACTTCTCCCCAGCCTTGCAATGCCCTTGTTGAGAGCAGAGCAGAGAAAGCCAATGGGGAAATTCAGACTGCCGTCAATTCCTCACCTCTGCACTGCGATCAGGGCAGCAGTGTGAGTAGGACCAGGCCAGTAATGAAGAGTAATAATGCAAAAGTCAGTTTCAGGGGGGTGACAGTTTAGAATCCTGGATACTGCACCATACAGGGCTGAGTATTTGTATAGCCAGTTGTGCAGGAAGGGTAACAAGCCAATAAACACTGCAGAACTCACACTGAAGTCCAGGTCACAATCCATTACCAGAAAAAAAAAACCCACCCAGAACAACCCACAACCAATCAAATCCAAACAAAAATGACCATCACCACTACCAAAACAACAGAATCCCTGGAAGGCCTGCTCTGATGCATCTCATACTTATCAAACTTGTGTGGGCCATGTGTACACAGCACAAAAGAGGTCCTGACTATTTCCTTCTGGCACTTCAAACACTTCTGAACAGGAATGTGATAACCTAGAAATAACACAACTTCTGCCGCTCAAAACCCCAAGGCTGGTTTAAATATAATTTAGAAATAAATACAAGGCAACACAGGCCTGATTCTGTCAGAAAGACAAGAAAGATCACATGCATTAGAAGATAAAATATTGCATATTCTGAATATTTGCAGGATTTTTCTCCTTTAATAAGAACAGTTCAACATGGCCACTTAACTTCTGGTAAGCCCTACAGCATGAATGAGCATTACATTCTTTTCCCATATTTCTAGTAAAAAACACCCACTGATAATCCTCTATCCATGATAAAAATGGCCATAACGCTATTAAAGCAAAACCAGTAGCGACCTTTTCCATCATTTCTGACCAAAGAATTTTAACAATTCTGACAAAGGAAGAGAGGTCAGTATCTATATAGCCTGCATTTATCACTTCCCTACCACAGTCAGCTATCCATGACGCTGGTCAAAATCAGTACAACACAGACGCACCTGTCACAGAGAAGTGTTCTAGCTAAGAAATATCTGCTTTATGGACAAAGATTGGCTAACTGAAGTCTAAAGAACAAGCAAAACCACAGCACAAACAACAGACAGAAAAGTATGTTTACCTTCCTGATTTGGCAGCAGATTAACACAAAACCAGAAATGGTGGGAGGAGGAATATAAAGGTTGTTATGAATACCTACCAGCTGTTACCAGCAGAAGATTTTGCTGCAAATTCACTGTTATAGCTCTTCCCCTACAAGCAACTGAAAAGTTTCTCAGGCTACCCCTTCAAGCACTTCCTTCTCAGCAGAAATATCTCTACTGAATTACACTTGTAATTGATAGTTACATATTTCCAAACAAGAAAAACTAGGGTTTTTTTTTCCCCAAAACATTTAATACATATCCTGTAAGTATGGCTATCACTTGTTAAACAACATATCCTATATTTAAGAACTGAAGAAAATGTTTTGAAGTTTCACAGAAAATTAAAAAAAAAAAACAAAACCAAATCTGCAGATGCATCATTACTTACAAGGCAGTTATCACAAATGCTACTCTCTTTTCTTTTTTGTGGTAGTTCATTCTGTTTCACAAAGAGGTTTAAAATTATTATATCTCAAACGAAAGCCTACAAAAACATACTGAAAGATACAACATGCTTAAAAAGAGTCATCTTAGTTTCACAAGCTTTTCTTGTTTCTCTTTTACGAAAAGCTGAGAAATTAAAATTAGCATTTGAAAGTATTCAGAAGATTGTTTAAGCTTCTCATTTAGGTGTCAGATTCCACAGGTGTGATTTCTCATCAAGTACAGTGAAACCTTGAAATCAGTCTTGCTAGGCAACATTGTAAAGCAAAACAGTAAAATTTTGGTTTCTCTACAACTGAAAATATTTAGACAAATAATCAACTAAAAGAGAGCCTATGATTAGCACAGAAAGAACACACTGCTTATCTGGTTCCCATACCTTAATATCTTAAGGGTATCAAGGTCGTATAACTTCTGGTTAAGAAAAGGACAGTAACTTGGTATCAAGGTTGTATAACTTCTGGTTAAGAAAAGGACAGTACCTTATACCATTTCATTGTGAAGACAACACTTCTTCCACTATTATAACTCATCATACTTGTATTATAACTCATGTTAGAAGTATTTTAGTTTTAATTTTAAAAAGTATTCATAAAAAGCACACACAAAGTGCACTGCTGGGAACATATGAACACTGGGATGAAGTGAAAGGATTTCTTTTTGCAATAAAGCTAATAATTCTTGAAATAGAAAATAAAATTATGCTGGCACAGCATTTTGCTTCTCTCAAGCTAAACTGCTTGCAAGATGTACTTGTGTAACAGCAAAATACTTTTTTTTTGCAGAATTATTAATATAGCAGTTTAAATTGACTTGTAACAATGTGAGCCTTGGGGAAATACCTATTTTTATACTGATCCTGTCTTCCAGTGGACCAGAACTCTTTATTTACTGCTAATTCACTTTTGTAAATATATTATAAATCAGTTCGCTAACTGATAGCTATACAAACCAGAATCATTCAAGAAGTACTTTAAATTGAAACAAAGTACAGTTTCTCCTCAATTTCTAACTCTCCCCCAGTTAAATAAAAGGAGACCAGAGTTTCTAATAAGCACTCAATCTTCAAAATTATTACAGGAGTATCTTTCATAGGAAAGACAATATCACTGACAACAACAATAACAAACCAGAAACTCCACACACTCACTGAATACACACATAAAACCCAAACTAACTTGGAACCTCACTGTCTAAACCAAACGCATGCCTTAGGTCTTCTTGCATTCAAAGCTCTTCCTGTTTCGTTTAATTTTTCTTATAAACATATGGGAAGATGTTAATAATAAGCATTTAGTATTTTGTACCTCAACCCCGAATAAACATCTTTATGCTTGCAGCTTCTGTAAAATACATTTACCAGTAATAATATAAATGACAGCTTCAGGAGATGAGGAAAAGAAATTGAAAGTAGCACTACCATCCATTCCAGATAGCAGTTTCTGAAATACTTACAAAGCTTTTCAACTTACAGGCCTCTAAGAACCATGATAAGAAAGAGGAGACACTAAAACCAAAAAAAAAGTTACATCTTGCACAGTTGCATTTTGCAGTACAGATTCTGCCATCTGTGCAAAGTAAGAACACTAATTATTTTACAACATCCTGTGCTGAATTATTTTTCCTGCTTTTTCAAGTCAATACTTATCTATGCAGAAATTTGTGAAAGCCATGGTAATATCAATTGAAAAAAAAACAAACAACCCTGCCCCCCAACCCCCCCAAAAAAAACAAAACAAACCACCAAACAAGACTACCCCATGAAAAAAGCCTTGGCCTTTTGGCATAGAGAAAAGTAAAATTCTTATTCTACTGGGCAACTTTTTTTAAGTTTACCTGTATTGTTTATCAGTGACTATCCTCAAGCATTAACTAGAGGAAACAACCTTTTTTACCTTGGAGTCCAAGATCATTAATAGTGAACAGTGTTTACACCCCAGGTGTCTCCCAAATAAAGACCATAACCTGCACAAAAATACACTATCAATACTATTTTGTTTTGTTGCTAGTTCTGATTTGTTAAAACAGAGTCATGACTCAAATCAGTTCTCTGAATAACTGAATCCACATTTGGATTATCACATAAATGGTGACTTAAAAGAAGTAATTAAAAAAAATTATCTTTTCCATGAACTTAGACTAAAATTCCATAGAACAATGACAATTTCTATCCTGCACCATGACTAAAAATTTAAGAAATTATTTATTAGCAGGCAAGACCTAAATATAATTCATACTTGATTCACTGTATTTACCATTTTGTAATCCCATCCACAATTGCTTATGATCCTTTTTTTGCATCTCATTGATAACTTGGCTTTTGTGCTTTAATGCATCTGCTTCTTTTATAGAAGCCATAAAATGAGCTTCGATCACATCCTTAGAGTGGCAGTGTAGAAGATCCTTTTCTGGAAAATTCTACAAAGAGAAAGGACAGATCAAGATAAATAAATGCATCACATAACTTAGAAAAATCACAAATAAATGATAATTTTAATCAGGTTTATATTTATAAAAAATAAGCACATTGGAATGTGCTTATGGAAGAACGAAACAACCATTCTCTCACTCTGCTGACAAGAAAGGCACTGCCCTGAAAAAAGTTTCAGGGAAAATAAAAACTAACAGTTTTCTGTAAAAACAGGAATTACTCTAAATCACTCACCTTCAACTTGACAAATACATTTAAATACATCAGTGACTGTATTAGGCCCTTAGGTACAAAATTTTGGAAATTAAGAGTTTTAACATGTTTTCAAGCAGATATGTAATTCTCTGGCAATGAACAAGAGAAAAGGGGAAGAAATACGTAACAGGCACCAAATTCTTACTGACTCTCAGTGGCAGGTTAGCACACATTTTTATGCAGGACTTTGAAAAAATGTTTCCTCCAAGTATCACCGTCCACATATATGAATATATATGAACTATAGCATATATGCCATTTACACTTCTCCTTAGATACCAGAAATCCTTTTCAGCTCCAACTTTACCTAATACATGTGCCTACTGCAACTTGATTTTATACTCCTTTTATCTGGTTAGAGCTGGCACCACTACATTCAGTATTGCAGATGCACAGTTACTTGTCAGGCAAAGTAGGGCATTTTTCAAAGAGTTTTACAATATAGTTACATGTCACAGTAAGAGCAGTATATTTCTGGGAAAAAAAAACAAAAAAATAAACCCAAACAAACAAAACCCAACAAACACCCCCCTCCCCCCCCAAAAAAAAAACAAACAAAAAAAAACAAACCAAAACCAAACCATATATTCCCTCCTCAGCTTAAAACCAGGAAAAATTGTGAACACTACTTCAAACTACAGGAGCTCAAAATATCCAAGAACCACTAACAGCTAGCAATATGAAAGGGAGCTGGGTATAGCCTTACCTGCAGGAAATTCTAAGGACAACAATGATAGGTCCCTCCTCATTAGGTTATTGAAAAGAGCTGGAAATTAAATAATGGAATTTCATGTAATAGTGATTCCTCCTTGTGACAGTGAACCCAGACTCTGTAAACTGTGGATCAAAAGGATGAGTATCTTCTAAAACGAGGAGTATAAAAGGAAGAGAAGACTGCTAGTATCTTTTCCACTTAAGTATATAAGGTCTGGTGTTGCACTCAAAAGGAAGTGCTACTGTTACTTAGGACTAATTTATGTGGAACTGACTAAAACCTAAGTAAAGTCTGGTAACCAATCCAGAAGAAAAGAACAGTCAGAAATAGCATACTTCAAGATCAAGAAAATTCCTTAAATACAAGAATTCAAAGTGAGACACTGGTATCCCTCAACAAAACATCAAACAGTGGAATATACCTAATGCTGAGTAAGACAGGAACCTAGGAACTTACTTTTACAGTTAAAAGCTGAAGTTTTAGCTAAGTTTATGATAACGACAGTTTTGTTACATGTGTCTAAATATTTAACTGCAGGGTCTCTTTTTTGGGCATTCCTGACTTTCACAGGTAGGCAACTCTCTGCTGACTTTCTTCCAATGAATTACAGGGAATGTCAGTCCCTGGAGACATGTTCCAGAGACTATATCCAGTGTGGTCTGCAGAACAGCAAGGAGATATTTAAAACTGGTCAAAGCTAGCTAAGCTAGTGGAAATAATTTAGCCACAATATTACAAAGCGGCATCATATGTAATTTTCCCAGCTTCTAAAAGATAACACTATGGAAGACTAGAAAACACTCCTACAACCTCAGTGCTGTCTACTCTTTTCTTTTAGAGGAAAACCACTGTCACATTTCTATGCAGCACTGTGAGCAGAAGCTAAAAAACATAAATATGAAAGTCATGATAATCATCACAGCTTGACTTCACGAACGAAGATTTGGGAAGGGCTTTACGCACGCTTACTACAAGCATGCTGATCACTGAAAAGGCCAATGTGGGATAGGCAAATCTGGTTCCAAAAAGCATAGTGAAAGGTCTCCTTGGGTGGTATAGGTGGGGTGCGATTCTTTCTACATTGTCTCTTCTCCAGACTAGTTCTGCGTGTGTTCTCAAAGGAGACAATGGCATTATGTACGGTGTGCCCCCAAGTCTCTGGACTGGAGGCTAAGGTGGACCACTGATGGTAGTCAATATGGCCAAGGCTGAGGTATTGTTTCAAGGAGTCCTTACATCTCTTCTTTGGGGCACTTCTCTTGCAGCAACTGGTGGCGAGTTCACTGTAAAACACAGTATTAAGGACGCGGTGACCCTCCACCCTAGAAACATGCCCTGCCCAGCACAGCTGCAATTTCAGCAATATGGCCTCGATACTGGTGACCCCTGCCTGCTCTAGGCGAGTAATATTTGACACAGTCGGCCCAATGGATGTTTAGAATTGTATGGAGGCAGCACTGATGAAAGCGTTCAAGGAGTCACAGGTGATGGCGGTAGATAATCCATGATTCAGACTCATATAAAAGAGTAGACAGTACAATGGCTCTATAGACACTTATCTTTATACTTTTCTTCAGGTGTTTATTGCACCAGACTCTTTTATGGAGTTTTCCGAAGGCTCTATATGCCTTTGCTATTCTGTTGCCTATCTCTTTGTTGATCGTGGCATCCGAGGAAATAATGCTTCCCAAATAGCTGAACTGCTGAACTGACTTAAGCTCTGACTCACCAATGGTAATGTGGGGATGATGATAATCTTCTTTGTGGTGCAGGTTGGTAGAGAACTACTGTCTTCTTCAAGCTGACTTCCAGCCTAAAAAGCTCAGCTGCCTCCACAAAGCAAGATGTTAAACACTGCAGAGTTGCTTCTGTATGGGCAACAAGGGTGGCATGGTCAGCAAAAAGCAGTTCACGGACAAGATGATTTAGGGTCTTCGTGTGGGCCTTCAGTCACCTTAGATTGAATAGGCTCCCATCGGTACGATATCGAATATAAATGCCGTTTTGTTCATTGAGGTCTACCGTAGCTCTTTTGGGCATTATGCTGATGAAGACTGTGAATAAAGTTGGTGCAAGAACGCAACCTTGTTTCACACCATTGGTTATTGGGAAGGGCTCAGAGAGTGCATCGTCATATCTGACTTAGCCTTGCTGATCCTCATGTAACAGAATAATCATTTTGAGGAACGTGGGGGGGACAACCTAATAGTTCGATGATCAGCCACAGGCCTTTTCTACTCACAGTGTCAAAAGCTTTGGTGAGGTCAACAAAAGTTACGTAGAGCCCCTTATTCTGTTCTCTACACTTTTCCTGCAGTTGTCTGAGAACAAATGCCGTGTCTGTGGTACTTCTATTAGCTCTGAAACCACACTGACTTTCAGGTAGAAGTTCTTCTGTGACAGTGGGTACTAATCTGTTCAAAAGTATTCTTGCACGAATTTTTCCAGCAACGGAGAGCAGAGTCATACCTTGGTAGCTTAAGCAGTCTGACTTTACACCTTTTTTCTTATACAGAGTGATGATGATTGCATCATGAAAATCTGATGGTAATTTATCTTGTTCCTAACAGCGCACAACTAGCTCATGAAATTTAGCATGGAAGTACTAACTTAGAAAATAACACTGCTACATCTACAAGAAGCACATGAAACAGTTTCACCTACATGAGACTACCAACAGAAAATATGGCATCCCCATTGATATATAAACTAGGGCACAGGATAGTAATTTCTATACTTAAATATAGATCATGTATGCTTGTATTATTTTATTTTTAATTCTACTTGCCTTCTTTCTACTTAAGGAAATAGTGATCAAATGTAAGTAAGCTTAAACTTGCTGGTAGCTACCCCTGGCTATACAACTATAAGATTTGCAGAAAGTATTAACATATACCAAATTCACATATTATTATTGGTGAAGTCATACTCCCTCCATATTCTGTATCTCTGAAAGAAAATTTATTAACTGTTGACACTGATTTTCTTAGAAAGCTCAAACACTACTGGTTTTATTTTGCATACCAGTAGACACTTGCAGCACAAACTTGGTCATAAAGAAGAAGGTATCATCTGAATAGACAGGAGCACTAAATGTCCTCTCAAATAAATGTTCCAAAACCATCACAGGTAATTTCAACAGTCTGGTTTCACAACCCATAACTAATTTATCTATCAGTTCTAGTTCACAAAACATGTTTCATTCTTTGACTATCTAGTTGCACTAGGCTACATTTATACCTGACCCAATTTTTAGCCAAGAAAACTAAGACGACAGCTGCCGTTACACAAAAACAGATGCAGTCTCTCCTCCTCTGCACCAGGTCATAGATGGAGAAGCAGGCACCAGCAGATAAGGGCTTCAGCAAAGGGAGAATGTTAGCCTTTCCCCTAACACACCCTATTTCCTCCCCTCCAACAATGCTACCATTTCCAGAGCAGTTCACCACCTACTGCTCAGAAATCTGGAGAGTTGATTACCATGTTGAGAACATGAATAGAGCTAAGCATGCTGCAGAGTAGCATGAGATGAGTTTAATAGGAAGACAAACAGTTTCCCTCCTACCTGTAAAGCCACACCTGGGTAACAAAAGCAACTTCCCAGACTATAGCTTCTCATGACTCTCACACCTTAGTGCTCTGTTCAAGCTCATCCTTCTACAACTATTTAAGGCAACTGTATTTCAACTTTACTGGAGATATAAATGCATGTTACTTTATTGCGTACCAGAAGTACAAATGAATAAATTATTTCTTCAGTACAAACAGTAAGTATGTTTATTTGGTCTGCGTACATTACACAGGAGGGCAATTACAAGTATCTCTCAACTTCCAAATTTCTACTGAACAGAAAGAAACTTTTTCCAAGGTTTTAACTTTAAACAAAGAAAACTTGGGGGGTGGGGGGCGGGGCTGGGAGGGTATTAAAAACACTCTTCACAGATGTTTGAGACATCTGCTGTTGACTACATGCTTTGGTAAAAGAAAGGAGAAAGCCATGACAGCACAAACTAAACTCCAGAAAAATCTACTAACTGTTCAATTAAGCCAAATAAAAATCATAGCTCTTGGAAAAATAACTACACACAAATGAAAATAATCATCCAGGCAGGAATCCCACACCTGAACTATTCAGCTGTAAGAAACTGTAACACACGAAAATGTCTTCAATATTTTTACATACTTTGATATATTTGTTATTTTTTTTACTTTCAGGATTAAGATGGGTTTATTTAAATAAACTTTAAAATTACATAAAAAATAGGAAAGATTTAGCAAGTACTTAATCCAAGATGTTGTATTTTTAAAAACCAAATTACATCAGCTTTTAGTTATTTCTGCTGACCTTTAATGTACACCTTTGAGACAAACTTAAATTAGCTGATCTTCTGACAAGCAGTAATATAAGGACATTAAAGTCAGTTCATATGACTACATGAAATTGAAAAGCACTGTGGTACTGCAATTTATTTCTCAAGATGGGTTTACTCTGGGATGGCAACATCACACACTGCCACTGTTGTTCGCCCAGAGCTCTCAGAACATGTAACAATGAAATCCTGATTTATGAAACTAGACATCTTTCAGTTCTTCAAAACACTCTGGAAGTTTTTTCATCCCAGCACTCTCTGACATACGTCAGACATCAGTGTAGCAATTACAGTGGTTTCAAAAACATCCCCAATTTCATTCAGTCAGTCATTTCAGAAGTTTCAACATGTACAAATACGTATTGTAAGAATGTATGACTTCAGTGCACACTTCCAAAAAGAATCAGACTACTCTTGCTGGCAAGACCTTTTCTAAAACACCTCCAACAGAAGAACTGTTTGAATGAAAACATTCATCACAACTGCTTCCGAATACGCTTTTTGTTTCACCTCAAACTTCAACACACTAAATTCAAGCCTATTAACCCAGCATTTTCCTTTGGAATAGTTTTCCCATTGCATTGTTTCTTTTATAATGGGGAAAATAAAGTTTCAAAGTTAAATACCATGATTTCTAGTTAACCCCAAGTATGTTTTGCAGTGATCACCTCATTTCAAAGAATTTAAGAATGCTGCACCAAAGCCAGCCTTGCGCAAGGACTCTTCTGAGCAAAGATCAGTAGTGCTGTGAAGTCATACCTAATGGTTTTACAACATGTAATCAAAATAATGTCTCTCCTAAGACTAAGCTGTCACAAGACCAAACTCATTTCCATCAGTTCTCTAAAGGGGACCCACATGAAATACAATAGCTTTCCTTGACTTCAAGGATTTCTACAGCATCTCATATCCATGCTCAATGTGCCCACAGGATGAGCATTTCTCATTCTTCCCAGTCTTCAGTCAACTCAAGCTGATTGAATTAAAAACATTATAGAAAGTTCTTCCTTTATACCCACTCACTTGCACTGACAGTCTCACAACTTAACTTGAAAAAATATAAAAATAAACTGGATTTTCAGATTGTAATAAATTAATTTTCAAAGGAAAGTCATTTGAAAGCACACACAACCTCATGGAAAACAGCTGTAGATTTACAATTTTAGACAATTCCTGAAGGAATTTCTAGAGGTGTATTTCAGTTTTACCTTGAAATGCACTGTGATGCTCCAAGGAAGGGCTGTATTTGACGCATGGAGATCAAACAGCAAACCAATTGGGTAATGCCTAAAAATGAAGATATATTAAATGAACGCAAAAGCTGTGCATTTGTTTTACATAGAACAGTTAATACACATGCATTTACATTAAAAAAAAAATGAATAAAATTGTGGGAGTCAAACAGCTAACATTCATTATTACTTATTCAGAAAAGTTATACAGACAGGTATTAAGTGACTGACAGTTTCTGGCGGAATCAAGTTTGGAGTTTATATGTTCAGTGTCTAAACCAGTGGTCTCCAAGCTGTGCCCACAAACCACTGCTAGTTTTGAAAATAGCATAAATGGCCTAACAGATGCTCTGTGGAATCCTTCAAAATAGTATTTTTAGTTAAGAAGATTGATAATGGTAGGAATAGCTAGTCTGACAGAAAACACATGCTTCCAGATATTTGCCATAGGTTTATACTGCGTTGACCCTTAATGTCTCTTCCCTCTCCCACTTGTCATCATGGAAAACAGGCAGAGAAATGAAAAATTAACATTATCTGTGAGAGGGCTGAAAGAAGACAGTTCAAGATGAAATCTGTAACTTTACTATCAAATTAAGAAGAATGCAAGGGAGGAAAAGAAGATTAATCGGAGTTTTGCATTTCAGTGGTATTCTGGATTAAAGGAGATATATAAAGAAGCTGCTTCTTCCAAATATTCACTTCTGTCTTCTTACAGCTTTGTCTCCTTTAAATTCATTAGAAAATACAGCCTCCAGCAATATAAGGAATATGTATCCCATACACAAAACTTCCACAGCACTCCAAAATGGTCTTCCTGCAATTGTCTCACAAGCAGACAGCAGCAAGATTTTTCATGTATGTTTTGGGGTTTTTTTTGTTTTTTTTTTTCCTCATTCAGCATACCAAGCTCCATTCTCTTACTTTTCAAAAATCTTAAACAGCCTTACTAGCTTTTCATCCTACAAAGAGATAAACACACACTTAACTGTAAACTCAGTAGCTTCACTGAATTAAATGAGACTGCTCACAGGAAGAGAGCCAAGAATGTACATAAGATTTGAAAGTCCAGAGAGCAATAACTGAGAGCTCCTCTAAAAGAACATGTGCCAAGCCAATTTCCTAACCCGCTGAACGCTCACGCAACAGTCCTTTAGCACCCTCTACGGGTGAGCTAGCCCCAAAAGTAAGAGAAAATCACCACAACAGCAAAATAAAAACCGAAACAGTGCTACGATCCTTGAACCTACCTATTATATTTGTAACTTCTTAAAAGAAAGAATAGGGTGAAATATTAAGTACCCAGAACTGTGTTTTCCTGACAAAAGGAATAAGAGTATAGATAATGCACATCCTGACAAAAGGAATAAGAGTATAGATAATGCACATCCAGATTTACCCAGATTCACTGCTAATGTTCAAGTTTTTTACCACTAAGACTTTTTACTACTACCTATCAATCATGTCTTGAATACTTCAGGGATTCAGCAAGAATTCCATGAAAGAGTGGTTTTACAGGTGAGCTAAGTAACAAAATTCAGATTTCCTTTGATAATTAGATGAATGTGAAAAATGACTTTCAGTTACTTTCAATTTATACAACAAAATAGATAGCTACAAAGGAAAAAAAAAAAAAGCATCACTTCTTGACCTACCTCTATATTTTCTACTCAGATGAGATTACAAAATGAAGTTTCTGTACTCCAACTTTCTTTGGTAAAATCCTTGTGCTTTGCACAGTTGATAAATGGTTTTTATTTTGAAAGAGGCCAGCCCTAAATTAATTTTGTTCCACAACACATGGAATTAATGAAGACAGCAGAGCACAAGAGAAATAATTTTCCATTCAGAAGCACAGCCTTCCATTAAGAGTAAAGTTCAAATTCCAGTTCTCACACACTGGCATTTAATCTGAAGCCAACAGAAGCCCCAAGTAATGCCTGTACATAATGCCATGTTTCACCTTTTTTTCTCTTTTTGAGATACATTTACAAACATTTTTATTTTTTATTGTTATAGTCTATATAACAATACTGAAGCAGCTATTTATATTTCCCTGATAATAAAACCTGGTTTGTTAACCAGGATAGAGAATTAAGGGAGAGACAAAGAGAGAAGCTGAGAAGAAAAGAGGATGTGGTCAATCTCTACATGGAATAAAAACCCCCAACATCCCCTCACTACAGTCTTAAGTGTGTATCTATCTACCTTGTGCTATGAGCTAGCATTGCCTCATCAGAGATCTTGCTTCAAGTAATACTGCTGCAATGCTGTTTCTAAACTTCTATTCGAAAAACAGGCATTGCAAGTAAAGAAGTACACAAATGCTCTCTAGAACCTACAGCAACCAGGAGAAATAAGGAAAAACAAAGAACTGCTGAGGGAAACATTCAGCCCAGAAAGGTATCATTTTGAAAAAATATTGATGTTGAAATCAAATTGCTTTTAATTAGAGTGGGAGTCAAGAACAGGCAGACTGTGCAGAACTTTCTCAAAGGAAATAATGGGAAAAAATAGAAAAAGGCACATGTCTCAGAGACAACAAATCTTTTTCTTACGAGATGCTAGAATAAGACTGGTTCTGCAAAGTCTTCAATCTATAGAAGCATAAGAACACCTTGACTGCCAGCCATTGTCAATTTATTACAGCTTTTATTATTATACAGAGGTGGCTTCAGAGTGTGAGAGAAGTCCTAGGAAACAGGATGTTTAAGTACCTAAAATCCTTTCAAAAGTAAGGAAAATTAATTACTATTTTTCTAACAATTTCTTTCTGAACCCAGGACAGAAAGTCACAGCATCAGCTGGTAGGTTGTTTTCAAACCAGAATAATTTACTGTGGTAATTCAGTAAGATATGTCACATGGACTGATAAATTCATGACAAAAAAAAAAAAGAATCCTATGGTCCAGAACTGTCTGCGGTACTATCAAGTATCAAGTGGCCAAAATCAACATCAGAAATATCAGTCCCTTACCAGCAGCCAGAGCACTGAACCTATACTGTAGTTACAGGCGGAGAAGGAGCTTTCCTCCTGTTGCTAGAAGTCACAGGCTTCCAGCCCTTCCATATCTAAGGAGACTACTTTCCAATCCAATAATAGCAGACTCAGCCTGCATCTCCTTCAATGTAGTTGTAAGTTTAGGCTCCTGTAGCTGCAGGGTCTATGAGAGGATTTGATCCAATTCCATTTGTAGTCTCTGATGTTGCACAGACTGATGATCTCTTCCTTTAGCTCGCTACCATGGTGATATAGACCCTCACCCAACACGCACCTCCTGCAGACACATTCCCTTGCCCCATCAACCACAGTGGCAGGCCCCTGGCCTGCATAACTCCACATATGGAGAACTTCATCCTCCTGCAGGAGCCTGGCCTAAGTGCTCCAGACTGGTGCTCTCAAACGGTGTTTGAGACTTCCTCAAAAATCTCACTGGGAAACAGAAGAGATGCAGCTGAAGAGAGATACGCTACATAACAACGAGGTATGAAACCGCACAGGCTGTAAGCAATACGACCTCACAAAAAAAAAATAATTAGAATAAGCAACATTATTAGCAAGTGCTATTTGATTCTGAATGCAAAAGTTACACTGAAGAAGAGTAAGCATTAATGGTCACTATTCTTTCCCTACAAACCACTAGCTCGACCCAATTCTCAGTTCTGGTATTTGGGTTTTCCGTGGAACAGGCTCCAGCTATTTTGGGGATTACCATTCTTCTAAAACAATGGTTTGCAAATAGCATTTTCCTTAGAAAAGCAATTCCACTGAAATCAGTGGAGCTATTATTGTTCCTGGCAGAATATGCTTAGATTTTCTGAAAGATCAGAGACTTAATTAGCATATCAAAATTATACTATTCATTTTCATGTCAATGTTCAACGAGTTTACTAACTCTTCACTTGATTTTACGATTGTAATTTATATTTTCATTCTACACCTATATTCTAGGTTGGTTTTTGGTTGGTTTTTTTTGTTTGTTTGGTTTGGTTTTTATTCTAGTTTATACATCATGGTATTTGAAAACTTACAAAAAATACAGATCTATTTTTGGATGAAGTAAAAAGCTTCTCTTTCCTTTCTTGTTACAATTTTAGTGATAATTTAGAAAGCTTTCTCCCATTATCTACCAAAGATTACGAACACACTGGAACAAACTTGGTACCTGTATCTGTGACTCAAGGTCGCTATGGCCCACAAACAAACAAATTATTGTTAAATTCCAGATAATTTAAATAGATGTCTAAAGCTGGTTCTGTTAGTGTCGAAAAAGTGAAAACAGTTTTTCTGCTTCTCTATTTATGTATTTTCCAGGCTTATACTAGGTTGGTCTCAAAGAAATAAGACTAAAAGAGATCTTCTCCATCATCAAGTCTAGAGACTCCATGATATGATGTTTGCTAAGCCCAAGACAATCCAAATTCAAGAAGCTAAAGTAGTCACTGGTAGTTTTCTTTCCTATTGTAACAGAAGAAATGAAAAGAGATATAAAAATCTCCTCTTCAGCATTCAAAATACTAAAAAATTTCTGGAGAGCTGATGCTATCTATACAAAGCTAGCAAACACTGCAGCTCTCAAAATGTTTTGTTTAAAACTCTATGGCAGAAATAAAGAAACAAAACTGATGAACAGATTTTATGAAAATTAAGTAAATAAAATAATACCAATCTGATGCCCCAACCTCTCAGGAAAAAAAAATATATACTTCTAATAGACCACGTAAGACAGAACAAAAACAGAATCAATAGCAATTAGTTCAATAAAGTTGAACTAATTGCATTCAAAAAGGGCCTGTGCATCAGTATTAGATTACCTGTTTTATAGTGCAAGCACATACCACACCCATGAAAAGTGAAGGTTATGCACATCTTTTATTATCTTTTTATATATACTATTTATTTTCACACTCCAGAAATACTTCCTATCTCTGTTATTAGGCACCTTTTAAAAAGGTAGAATAAGCTAAACAAAGATTTATTTGGTAATTCTAAGCCAAAAACAGAGACACTTTGTATTACAGTAACCACTAGACTGCCTTGTACATACAGTAAGCATAAGCATAATAATCACAAGTATGTTCAATATTAAACCTTATGTTTTTCCAAACAACATGCTTTTCTTACTCTCCTCCTGCCACCTCTAAAACCCAATGGAGTGATTAGTTTAGGAAAAGTACTGACGCTGTGCTGAACATGGGAACCCTTTACATGATAAACTGAGCAAAGGTACAAAGTTAAATAAACTCACCATTTCAGGGGTGTGCCTTCATATTCAAACCAAATTTCATTAACTTCCTCTTGTCTCATAACTTTCTGAAAGTGTTTCTTCACTTTGTCTGTTACCAATGTCAAGTAGCTTATCCTCGGCAAAAGCAACTGAAATAAAAAAAAATATAGAAGCTTTAAGTATAAATACAATTTACTAAATTCATAAAAAAAATACTATAAAAAGTATGCATATTCATAATAAAATTTCAGCTGAAATTCTCACCCTAACTTAAAGTAAGACGTCTTTTAGACGGTTTACTTACTAATGGTCAATGAAAGCCTATGAAATTATGTACTCAGAAGATGCAGAATAGCAGCATCCCATGCACTAACACAAAAGACAGAAAAACAAGTAAGTTCTTTATTCTTTCAGTGTGGTGGGAGAGAGAAGGGTGGAAATTAATTCACACTTCTCTATATTTCAGCAAGCCAAAGAATTAAATTTTTAACTTTTTTCATATAAACAGGAACATGTTCTAACTTCTTCTATATAACTTGAATATAACAAGCAACTGTGTACCAGCTATTATTTCCAAATGGCAATTCTTGTAAAGGTTGGTTTTGTGAGGGTTTTTTTTTTGTGGGGTTTTGTTTATTTTAAGAAAACTAGCTACTTAAGAGTTTGGTTTCCAAGAACATTTTGTATTTCCAACAGCTGGCAATTTCCATCATCTCTGCACTGGGTTTGCCAATTCAACGTGTTAGTCAAGACTACTATGCTTCTTCCACTATTTAACTTCTGTCCAGCTACTGAAATCAGAAATAAAACTATCAATATTTTATCAGTTGAAACAGAAACCTTCTATAGCTTTCCGGCATACATTTTTTTTTCCTCAAGTGTAATGTTATGCACTATCCCAAACAGAATGCTGTGTTATTTTTATTTGCAAAAACCCTCCACCTTTTCCTTTTTGCTTTTTTTTTTTTTAAAAAAAAAGCCTCGTGCCTAGTAAAACTGATTGAGTAGACTGTATCAATCACAATGAGCAAAGACTAACCTCCGTGTAAAATAATATTTAGCTTTGGAATAGTCATTTTAAATTAATGTTATTCACACTGTACACTTATTTTCATTTCCTAATTGTTAATTAAATAGATGGGTCTAAGGAATAAATAGAAATAAATTAGATTTTGCATATTTAAAGAAAGACAAACATTTGTTTTCCACCATTCCTCATAACCAGTACTGTTTCTTAAAATATTTTCTTTAGAGTATTACAGATAATGCTAGGCCTTAGGTGAATGTCATTGTACAGACATTCCAAACTATGTAAAGATATATTCTGCGTAACAGAAAACTTGATCTCTGCTGAAACATTCTTCCACAATCATTCCAACAATTAGACCACATTTTGATATATAAATTAGATAATATTTTCACCACAACACTAGAATATTTATAAACATCAGAAGAAGTATAGAGAGAAAATCAAGAAGTAAGTTCTTACAAAAGAGAATGGGTTTATCTTTCAGATAATGTTGCGTTAGATTACTAATCTGCATGCATATGTGAAACAACTAAATTTTAGGATTATATAAAACTACAAAAGATGAAGACTCACCACTATCACAGTCATCAACTCAGTTAACACTTGATAATTTATGTACTAGATGGCTTTATTTTTCCACTATCATGTATTTTCTACCCTCTTTGACAGGCTGAGAGAGCTGGGTTTGTTCAGCCTGCAGAAGAAAAGGCTCTGGGGAGACCATATAGAAGCTTCCAGTACCTAAAGGGGGCCTACAAGAAATCTGGAAAGGGACTTTTTACGGGGCGAATGTAGTCATGTAGTAATAGGATGAGGGGTGAATGGCTTTAAGCTGAAAGAGGGGAGAGTTAGGTATTAGGAAAAAAATCTTCATTATGAGGGTGGTGAGACACGGGAACAGGTTGCCCAGAGACGCTGTAGATGCCCCATCCCTGGCAGCATTCAAGGCCAGGTTGGATGGGGCTTTGAGCAACCTGGTCTAGTCGAAGGTGTCCCTGCCCATGGCAGGGGCGTTGGAACCAGATCATTTTTAAGGTCCGTTCAATCCAAACCATTTCAGCAAGGTAATTAAACACAGCCTTCACCGAGTTTGAGATCATTCACTTTTTAAAACAAATCACATACATGCTCCAGTGAGAATTGTTTGGTATCTCAATGACTTCAATGACAATATTATCCTTTATTAACCTAATTCCACATATCTACACTGAGTGTTCTTGAGACAACATAAACCAGCCTATCCCAATCAAATCCAAATATTTTTTTGTAATAACTTCATATTATTTCTGTCTGATATTTACAGTTAAATTAATTCTGGTATATTCTGATATGAGACCTGTCTGGACTGCCTCAAATGCCGGTTTTTAACATGGGGCACATCCATGCAGGATTTGATAAATGTATTAGAGCATTACTGAGTGCAACAGTGTTTGACATAACCCTTTAAACTGCATAACTTCCTCTGTAAAATACTTCAGTTTGCAGTGTAGAATAACAATGCAGTTTCTATTTTAACACAATTAGCAATCACAGACAATAACCAAACAGCACTTAACTGAATTTAACAGAACATGGCCAGCACTCCCAGTGGGAATCCTCGGAGTACAAAACCCAACAGTTAAGCAGGTTAATGCAGACTGCCTATTTTTATGAGATGCTGAGCATTTGCAGCATCTACTGAAATCTTTTCAGTTTTCCCCTTCAATGGAAGACATGAAAGGATCCAATTCTATCACTTTCCTAGCTTTAATTATTCAAGAGATTTACAAATATCCGAAATCTGTTAAGTGAGACCTTTAGAAGCATAGTTCAAATATATTTTCATTTTGTTACCCCTTTTAATTTTTGTTATCCCTTTTAAGACTTCTTCACCAGTTGTCCACACTCAGTGAAACACACCAGTTGACACAAAACATTTTTACCCCCAAAATTCTGTAATTATTAAATGCGATTACTATTTCTAGAGAAAAGTTAACTAAAATATTTAGGGGAAAAAAAACCCAAACCTAACCTTAATGTATTTAACTATACGCTGGACTTTGGTCAGTCTTTCCAACAGCACAGACACATTGTTTTACAGAGGCCTCTATATGAAGACCGTAATTTTACATGGCAGTTTACCTTCTAGACTATTAGACACTCACAAGCTTCTCCAACACTTCAGCCATATGGCAAGAAGCCTTCCTTTTAAGTAAAGCTGTGTTCACCAGAATTACACCTCACCCACAAACACTTCCCCTACTAACTCTGTTCAGTCCATGCAGGCCAACGAGCCTATACCGTTTCAGCCTTTGGCTACCCTACAGCAACAGTTCTAGATGCTGGGAACAGCCATGATTCAGTGGTAATTCCTGGTTTCAGCCTGAAACACCTAATAAAGACAAAACAAAACAAAACACACGATCATATGACAAGATACATTAATCTAAATTAATGTCATTCCACTAGATCAGATTTGCTCAACTGCTTTTTTTTCTTCTTCCCCAGATAACCTCTGATCAGTAGACTTTGTGCTACAGGTTAGAACAATGCCATGAAAATCAAACGCATCCACCAATCCAAGTAATGTACAACTGCAACCTGAATGTAGGACTGATAGATCACTACATTATACTCCAAAATACAGAATGCCCATCATAAATTATACAACCTACAGTACTGCATGGGCAAATATACAGACAAGGTAGCCCAGTAAAGGCTAGTCCCTTGGGCATCGCTCATTCTAAGACCGCCTTCTGCTTTAACTTCATTCTTTACACCTGACAAATCTCAGCCAATGAGTACTCTGCTTCCCGTACATATTTTATTTCTAACTCTTGCTTGCACAAAGAGGCAGAGAGTACACCATTTTAAAATAAAAATCTTAACAACCTTAGAACTAGGGACATATCAGATAGTTCAGCAACAAAGGTAGTTCAACCTAGCTGTTCCTAATTTTGCTTCCACTCCAAACACAAGCATTTATAGGAGAGACTCCACAGAAACTTGACATATGCATTTCCAGTGTTAACTCTGCAGAAACCTACCTGGCTTGACTACAGGAAGAAACAGAACAGTAGTATCTCACCTGAGCTACTTGGTTTCGATGTCACTACTCTTTCCAAAAGATAAACAAGCTCATTTTAAATGAGTTCTGCTACCCCCGTAGCAGTAACATGAGTGCCGTAACATGATCACTCCTGTGCTGCGCTAATACACCTTACAGACAAGGATCTCCTGTACCATCACACACACCAAACCAAAATCTGTCACACAGATTCTGGATTGTTTTCCTAACTCCATAACCCTTCACATTCCTGGTCTACATTTTCCTCCACCTTCATAAAGGGAGTTACTCATACTCTGGTATGAGTAACTTTTTCTCAACCTGACGATGCCAGTATTTCCCTTGCATGCAGCCTTCCCACTTATGGAAGGCAGTCTGGAATACAGAGGTTATATCTACATTAACAAGTACTGAAGTGTGGTAGACAAGACATGAAAAGCTGAGCAGTTGGTGTCAAGGGCTGGGAATGTTCACTACATCTATTTTTTTTACTTCAGTTTTGGGGGGTTTGATGGCTTTTTACTTCAATTTACCTCCAGTTTGATCCCATACACTAAATGTCCATTAGGAGGACTGAAGTACTTCTGCTTCAGCTTCACAGGAAAATGATTCAGCCTGTGGGCTATGAGACTGCTGTGTGATGCAAACCTGGGCACAGTAAGTGGAAAGGATGAAGACTTGCATCAAAAAGGCACTCTAGATCCAAACAAAAACATTAATGTAGATGCACTCTGAAACCATAAGAACTAAACCACAATTTAAAACTTAGAATGCTGTTCTACCTATTACTAGTATAAATCCTTGATCCCTTTCAAGAAGCTGTATTATCAGCTCCAAAATCACCTGAGAAAGTAAGAAGACAAAATTTTAGAACTGTGATTTGTGAATAAACAGATTTTGCAACAACAGAGAATCATACAGATCAAGACTGCATGTCTCTATACTTAAACACATACTTTTCATATAGCTCTTATACAATATATGCATATATATATTAACATATATATATATTAAAAAAAAAATTGAAGACTTCTGCAATAGGTCAACCAATGAAATAAAAGTGCTTCTGTTTTTACCAGTGGGGAAACTGAAACACAATGATGAGCTCTATTATCATTGAATGAAAATCATTAATGGTTTATTATGTTTAAAAAAATCCACTGAGTGCACGTAAATCAGAAACTGGTGACATAAAGATGCTATCAAACACAGAAAAAAAGTATTTCTACCCAGCAATATTTTCAAAAGGAGTAGAATAGGCTATGACAAGTGACAGACCTAAGTTTTTAAGACTGCACAAAGCTCTGATTGAAGTTATTTCTGCAGTACAGTAACAGAAACCAAAAACATAACCCTTTTTCTGACCATAATCCAAGAACATACAAACTCAGGTAGAACCTCCTCCTTTTACCTAATTACTTGCTCACTTGATTTTCACATTTATTTAAGATTGTAATTATATGTGATAAGTTTCTCTCACTAGTGAAAGAAAGTTAAAAGTCTTGAACCTGTTGTGAAGACAAATGAATCAGGCAGCATGTCCACTCAGTTTACTTTCAGGAGACACCAGGAATAAGAATAAAAAAGCTGTGGGGTTTGTTGGTTTGTTTTTGGCTTTTTTTTTTTTTTTGGCAGGGGGGCCTGGCTCACAACATATAGTAGCACACATGATGAGAATGAAAGGAACAAACATAGCTATGGCACTGGATTTTTTGCGACTACCTTCATTATACTCACATAGTAAGGTTCAGCTTCCCTTTCAGTTATCTCATCCTGATACAGAGTGAAACAGGTTGGTATTCGTCCAAACCACACATCTCGAAGCACATCTTTGTCATCTGTCATTCTTCCAATGAATAGCGAAGCACATGTAGGTCAGTTTGTTTCTTCAGTTAGAACTGTCACCCCATTCCCCCCCCAAAAGAAACAAGTCAGCACAGCTGCAAATGAAATACAGCTTGTTAAAGGTTCTCCCATAAATGCACTCCTGCAAGCATGATCGAGGCTGTCACTCAACCCTTAAATGCAGCTTTCTACAGAGGATGTGATGAGCTGGGGCCTCTGAGTTAACACTTTCCTAACTAGGAACACACGGTGGATGACAAGTAAATGTGCATTTTGTAAGCGTGCATCACTCCCCAAACGAGGGGGGAAAGGGAGCGCCCACGTCACCACCCTGCAGTAATCCCATAGCTCCCGCACCCCGGGGAGGCCCCGGCCCGCGGGCACCCAGCAGAGCCGGTGCCCGAACAGAAACAGGAGGTCGGGCAGTGGAGGAAATAAGCAGGTCTGTCGCCTGCGGGGCGGCAGGCCAGCCACGTGGGGAGGTGTCACGGAGGCCCCAGAATCGCCACGGCTGCGCTGAGCCCGGTGGGGTGCTCCGCCAGCAGGCTGGTGACGAGGGCCGCCCTCCGGAGCGGCCCGGCCCGGCTCCGCGGGGTCGGTCTGTCAGTCGGTCTCCCTCTCCCCTCGGTAGCCACCCGACGTGAATCAGCACCGCACGGCACTGCGGGACTCCCGCCTCCCGGTGCCGGACCGAAGACCGCTACGACAGCAGCCCCCGGCGTGTTTCCCCCGGGCAACGGCAAGGCCGGGGGGGCGGGCCGCAGCGGCCCCGCCCCAGCGCGCCAGGGGCAAGCAGAGTCCCGTGTGGGGTGGGGTGGGGTGGGCCGGCCCAGCACAGCCCCGCGGAGGGGCACCGGGGGCGGAGGGGAAAGGGAGCAGCCGTTACCTCAGCCGTGCCCCTCGCGGGCTGCGCGCCGGGCCAGGCACGAACTGATCGGCGGCCCCGGCCCCGCCGTGGCCCCGCCTGGCCCCGCCCCCACGCGCACGCGCTGTCCGCCGCGCCGCTTCCGCCCGGCTCCCGGTTGGGCGGTGGCCGGCGACGGAAGGCGGAAGCGGGGCGGACGGTGGTGGCCGAGAGGAGTGAGCGGCGGGGATGCGCCTGCAGGCGGCGTGCTCGCTCTCGGCTTCCCGTGCTCCTCCGCACTGTCATAGCGTGAGACTGGGAAGTCCTTGATCGGGGTAAACGCTGAAGGAAAGAACTAAAACATCGGTGTGTTATCAGCATCGTTCTCAGCCTAAATCCAAAGCACAGCACTGCAGCAACTACTAGGGAGAAAATTAACTCTATACCAGCCGAAAACAGGGCAATGCCATGGCCTCAAGAGGGTGAGGAGTACCTGCTGCCACCGGGCATGTCTCTTTTCCGTATGAGGGCATCGTTCCGGGTCAGATTTATCGGTCCAGTGGGTGCAAGTTCACAATGAATTCCACCTCTGTATTTTAAAGAACATCTCCTGCAATTCTGTCACTCTGCAGAGCCCCGTCTCGATGTCCTACAACTGCAGGAGTGAACAGGGAGGACAGCGCTTTTCAGGTGGAAGGGAACATCATAATTCCGGGGAACGTCTGTATCACAGCTTCCTTGCTACATGTGTCACACACTATCAGTTGTCAAAGCCAGGTTGTTCTGTGCCAAGACGTACAACTGTAGTAAATGCATTACAACTGTTATATTGGCAGTCAACGTTTGAAAATAACCTAACGAAATGTGTATTTTCCCTGACGTGCATGGCACGCTGCAATTTCAGTGGTGCGATGTTGTTGCTATGCTGGCTTGTGTCCACCAGATGTCACGCAGTGGCCACTGCTGATGCAGGTGTCCTAAGGAATTCAAGAACCAACTGCAGCTACTACTGCCTTTTTGTGACTAGCATTTCAATGAATTTATATATTGCTGATTCAACCGTCTGATCTGGGAAATTCTAGTACTTTTTCAGTCGTCTGAAATATTAGTCTGAAGAGTTTGTTGATTTGTTTTGGTTTGGTTTTCCAGTTAAATAAACTTGTCACGATCACCTCTTTTTGATAAAATATTCTGAACACATGCCCTATTATACATTATTAAAAAAATAACTTGTTGCTGGCGTTGATGATGCTCTATAAGCAAAAAGTTTAGCTGTCATACTTATGTGATTTGGGACGTAATCAGTAAAACTTTATCTTCTCTCTAAGGGGTTTTCTGACACATTAATTAAAAAAAAAAAAGTATATAAAAAACCTCACCCACACAAAAACATACAAAAAAAAATCCACAAAAAAAGCTCCAAACAAAACAAAAAAGAACAACCTCAAACCCAAACAACAGGTAAACCGGTGTAAATCTGGATTAAAGTTGATATTTGGTATGGCCTACCCCAAAACATAGGGAAAGATGGCACATAGCACATGCTATACTGTGAGTGCTTTAGGCTTTCAAGTGACCGGTTCCCTTCTGCTTCTAAATATAGGCAAGTTACACTTTCCTTGGGTGCAGGTATTGGGCAGCACCTCCAAACAGCATATTAACATTGAGATGATGGAATGGGAGAGGTTTCTCCAGAAGTATTCCCTGTGCACTCAGAACAATTTAACTAGGTGGATGATTTGGAAATGACTGTCTTGCAGACCTGGAATGGCAGCAACTTCTGGATGAAGAAGGATGCTTGCACTGAGACCTGCATAGGACCAATCCCACAATTACAAAGGCATCCAAACCACAAGCACTGGTCATGGCTACAGGCTTCTCTATGGATTTCTGCAAGGAACCCCCTTAATGCTGTTACAGGTCCATTGGAACTGGTCTGATGAGGAGATATGTGGAGATACTGTGAGGTGCCAGCACCTCTGCAAACAAACAAACAAACAAACAAACAAAAGTAGCTTGCCTTGTTTACAAGATTTCCAGACTTTTAGAAAGCTTTGCACAAGCAGATATCCCTACAGGAAATCAAGGAAAACCATGTTTCTTATTTGTGCTTTCTTCTTATGAGTTCCTCAGAGTTCTTTTATAGGAAAGGGTTACTTCAGTAGTGCTGGAGGGTTTGATTGATCATTGCAGCAGCATCACTGAAGATAATGACCACTTGTATTGAAAACAGAATGGCCCAGAAGCATCCACTGGCACAACTGATCCCACACATTTTTATTTTTTTTTTCTCATGAGCAGGAAGAAGCCTGCCAGCACTGCTATTAACAATAATACTGAGATTGTTATACTGATAGTGTATACTGAGGATGTGACCCATTCTTGATGCTGCCTGTGCTTACCTCAAGAGGTTTTATTTAACCTCTACTGCTACAGCTCTTGAAGCACACCATTGGCCAGCTAGGCTGTGTAATCAGCATTCTGTTGATTGCTAAGGACAACTACAAACCAAATTAAACATTTATTTTTGCATTTTTCTGTCATAAGGTACATAGGAACCTGACTCCCCTGACACCCTGGCATATGGATTCCACTCTATAGGCTTAAAATTGAACACAATTGAGTGCCCAAGTCTTTTTCTGGATCTACATAGAAGATGCTAAGTAGAGAATAAAGCACAGTAAGTTATAAAGCAAGATTAATTTGCTGTTTAGAGTATCTTCCTATTCAAACATCCTAGCAAACTGCTGATGTACTTACCAGACCTGAAGTGAATGCCAACTTTGCTATTAATATGGCTATAAATAATGATCTGAATTTGAATGAACATTAAAAATAATTGCTAGGATGGAATGTCAAAACGATGCAATAAAAAAGTAATTACCTCCCTTGGCATATTGTTTTCCACATTGTTATCTAATGCTTCAAGTGGCACTGTCACACAGTAAAATGGACCAGTCTAAACTGGAGGGTAAAGAGCTCAGCAAACATATTTCCAATTCCAAAAATTCTCCAGAGAATTCCCCCATTTTAAACATCATCATCATGCAACACTCAGTGTGTCATTGCCTAATGGCAAAAAAATAAAAACATCTGTTAGTGAGTACAAATGGAATGTGAAGATGCTTGTAAAGAACAAGACTATAATTAAAGATGCATTAATTCTAACAGAAATAAGAGAAATGGAACAGATTGTTTACATATTTGTGGGCAGTCTGTTTTTGTGTAATGGTAGTGGAGATGAAGATTTGTAATCACAATCACTGCATAATTTAGGTTGGAAGGCACCTTCGGAGTTCTTTCCTGACCTTTAGGCCAACACCCCTTCTCAAAGCAGGAGTAGTTACAAAGTTGGATCATGTTGGTGAAGGCAAATAATGCTGAAAAGTTACTGAAATAATACGTGAAATAGTATTTCTATGTATATTTTACTATAACTGGTATTGCTTTGATCACATGGAATGAATTTACTGCTGCTTTCACAGGACTGGTGTCTTATGGGCACCTACATATACAGAAAGTAAGGATCATTCATATATACAACAAAGAACCCTGGCAGGTGGACAGAAAAATTCCTTTTACTCAGACCTGGCTCCTCTTCATGTAAAACCCTGAACCCATTAAATCAATGGCAAAACACACAAAGGTATGTGAACCTTAACTTTTTCAGTGTTGCTTTATTAGAAATTGATCTTCAATCATTATTGATGTTTTCCCTTCATTTCCCTAACAGCTTTCAATAGAAAACAAAGCATATTTTGTTTTAATTTCTTAGCTATTGTCTTTTGAGTATGTAAACAAAACCAGATTGTTGGAATCATTAATATGCACCTTGTAACATGCAACAGTGAGTAAGAGTCAAATGAAACTCATAATGCTGCTATTTATATCTAGCTAAATAGTTCGTTGTTGCCTACTCCCAGTGAAGAATTAGTTTTATTAATTACATGAAAATCTGATTCATTCATCTGAGGCCTTTCTGGAAATATTACAAGATATAAGTATGTCGTGGTTTAAACTCAGTCAGGTAATTCGTTCGCTCACTTCCCCCCCCTTTCTTGCCCTCCCCCTGCTCCCGGAGGGACGGAGAGGAGAATCGAAAAGAATGCAACTCCCACAGGTTGAGATAAGAACAGTTTAGTAACTAAGGTATAACACAAATCACTACTGCTACCACCAGTGATAATAATGATAAAGGAAATAACAAGGGAAGAGAATACATCATCTCACCACCACCCGACCGATAACTCGCCCCCCCAGCCCGACCAAGCTCTGACTGATACCTCCTCCAACCCTGCAGTCTCCCAGCCCTTCCGGCTCACTCCCAGTTACATCCTGGCCATGACGTGCTGTGGTATGGAATACCTCTTTGGTCAGTTTGGGTCAGGTGTCCTGTCTCTGCTTCCTCCCGGCTTCCCCTCCTCCCTGGCAGAGCATGAGGCTCACAAAGTCCTTGGCCAAACCAAAACATCGCTTGTTATCAGCTCTGTTCCCGAGCTGAAAGTCAAAACA